GTGGTGAGTGGGGGGGGGGCAGATCCTGCTGGTGAGGAGAAGGAAGGGAATGAAATGGCGCGAACCTCCGAACCGAGGTTCGCGCCCATCTCTATCTGCAATCTGACTTTAAACAACCACCATGCTCCACGGATGCAAAACAGCCATCTGTCACACCTTTTAAGGTGTTGCCTCCCCCCACCCCCAAATCCTGAGTTAATGCTTTCTGAGCACTGTCGTGGGATGGAACTCCCATTTCTACTGCCATCATCCTACTCCAGTTGTATGGATGAGCAAAATGTCTAAGTGCCTGCTGAGGTGCTGGGCACCTATGGGTAGAGAGGAACTAGAAGTGCGAGAATCCAAGAGGGAAATCAGACCTACCTGGGGGGGGGGCAGCTGGCCGTGGTTAAAAACCATGCTGATGTTGGCCTGTAGTTTCGTTTTCCAACAGTAGCCACAATGAAAAGAGCTCAGAATCCAGTCTGCATAACTCCAGTTAAAACAGGGCGCTTAGACCTTTGAGACCCCCTGCCAGTCATGGCAGAGCTCAGAGAAGCTCCATTTTTTTCTGACAACACACCCCAGGATGTCTGGGCCAGCTTGGCCAGTGCCCATGCTGCCAGAAGGAACCCAGAGACCCTCATTCAAACAACAACAAAAACAAAAGGGAGTGTCCCATATATGAGTCCCAGGGGACTCTATGGATAAATAGGGACCACCTCGGTGGGAAGGTCACGGCGTTCCGTGTCTAGTCGTGCTGGCCACATGGCCACAGAAACTGTCTCCGAACAAACGCTGGCTCTCTACGGCTTGGAGACAGGGATGAGCACCGTGCCCTAGAGTCGGACATGACTGAACTAAATGTCAAGGGGAACCTTTACCTATAAACTTCCACCTGGCCCACGACAATTTTCTGCATTCTGCCAGGGGCAAAGTGCAGCCATCAAAATGTGGCTGGACTATGTGTCCCAACATTCCTTTCCAGGCTCCACTGCCTAGGGAGCTGAGAGGTATTGTAGTCCACCATCATCTGCAAGGCTACCCTCTGATCATTTCTCTGCTCGGCAAAGATGTTTTAACCTCCTTCTGTGGTCTGATGAACACCTTCTACCTAACACAGTGTCTCAATGTCTGTTTGCTGGCTTCCCCCACCCCAGAACAAATAAGAGGAGGGGGTGAGATTAACCAGAAACACAGTCCAGGGTTAACCCCTGCACTCCCACTCCTGGAGTCCTACTTGCATTCAATCACCCACCCTCCTGCCACCAGCCAATACCTTAAAAACACAAAACACTCTCACTGGCCCCTTGGATCTCCTGGATCGTGTCTCATCTGCCCTTCAATTAGGGTAGTGGCTCCCACCACTTTCAGTGCCCTGATGGATCCTGTGCCAGGGTTGCTGAGATTTGCAGCCCAAGAACATCTGGATCACCCGAGGTTGGGAACCACTGAATTAGAAGATTAAAAGCAAACTCCGAAGCAACAAGAAATTCTTTTCTCGATTCCGATTCTTTTCTGAATCCTGATCCTTTTAAAACAAGTCCCTTTTAAAGAATCCCAAGAATCCAATTAGGAATGGCTCGTCATGGAAAAATCTGATCCTTTTAAAACCTTTTTAAGAATCCCAAGATTCCAATTAGGAATGGCTCGTCATGGAAAAAAAAATAAATTAAGCAAATCCATAAAATGAAATTTTAAGGCAATCATGTCAATTATCAAGTGCCTAAAAGTCATCTTTTTTTACACTTTCCATTCTTCTACTCCTCACACCCAGCCCGTTTCCAAGTGTATGTGATTGTTTACACCTAAGGAGGAGAAACACACACACACACACAACTCGCTAATTGGAGATTTATCCATGGCTCATGAGGTTTTCCTCCCTCCAGATTCTCGGAGTGAACGAGACCCACTAAACCTCATAAAGGTGTCTTAAAATATTTAGGGCTTGCGGAAAAGTCATTCGTCATCAGACAGGCAGCAAAAAAAATGCAGCTTCTACAGGCATGTGCTTGGCTGACAATCATACACAATCACACACACACACACTGCAATTTTCAACAGATCATAGAATACCTTGCGTCGAGATTATACACGTTGCACCAGTGCAAGACAATACACCGTAGTTCCCAGCCATCTTCAAGAGGAGGAAAAGAGATGGCGGTTATTAACAAGAGGTTACCATATGAATATTTGAACTTTTCAAACTTTTTTTTTCTTAAGTAGCATGGGTTCTTTTTTTAAAAAATAACAACCCACCTAAAATCATCCAAGGAAGCATTGAAGTTTCTTACTTGGTTTACAGTTCTACGACATGAGAGACAAACTCCACGGTGTGCGCATAACTTTTCACATGGCGGCTAATGGCAACGGTAGAAACCAAAAATCCACTCTTTTCCTGCTTTTTCCCCATACAACCAATCTCTAAAAAAATTAAGCAACATAATAATAGGCCTGCTGGTCTCCAGTGGATTTTTTCAGCTGAAGAGGATCATCCTTGTTCAGCATGTTCTATGCGTCTCTACCGAAACAGAAACTGATATACGAATGTACCTCGCAGGCACATAGTTTCCCCATGCGGACGGCCTTCCCCGTTATTTCTAGCAGAAGAAACAGATTTGCACGCACAAAAGAATGTGCATGGAAACAGAGCTTGGGAATAATTCATTAAAAAAATAATTTGTTACTCTAACATGTTGTTTTTTTCCCCCCAGGTTTGTTCCTTTAATCATTAAAATGGCAAACACTTTTGTTTTAACATGCTTCCTTGTGTCAACTCATCTTCAGCAATCCCCAGCCATAATTTTGAAGTTTAAGGGGTTTCAGAAACTGACGGACGAATCACATTTCACCGTGCCATAAAAGTTGGGACAATTTAACATCGGTGGGCTCCTGTTTATAATAAGCGCTGCCTACAAATCGGTTTCCTTGCTCCAAAGGAATGGAACGATATAGTAAACATGGAACCACCCCACCCTACAAAAGGTTAGGGGCGTCAATAGACATCTAACCCTCAAAGGGATCTCACAAAAACTGAGAAACCGGCCCCTGTTGCTCTTTCATCTTCTTTAACTTCAGACCTGGAGGGTTTAAGAGAAAACACGTCAGCCCACACGGATTGGTTTTTAGACCACGAGGTAACAACACCTACATGAAAAGACCAGGTGGAGGGAGACAAAACGCACAATGGCTTTTCCGTTGAGTTTTCGCAGAAGGTATGCCTAAGTTGTTTGATGCCATCGGTCAGTCCAAAGTAAAATCAACCCAATCCCGACTGTCTCTTCTAGAGATGATCCGTAGAGCTGTACAAAGTTTTATCCCTTCAAGAATAAGGCTGCAGATGGTTTAGACGAGGGAGGAAACCAAGAGGAGTGGAAAGTCTGCTGGACATTAAAATATGAAGGGAACAAACTTTGACCCCCAAAGCCCACGAAAGAAAATAGAAATAGCTGCTGTTTCTGCCTTTCTCCCTCTTAGCCTTAATTTAGCTGAACCTTCACAGTGCACCTTTGCTTCGTGGCTGGGGTTATGGATGGCTCTTTATATTTTACGAATTTCTTGGGGTTGGTTTGTTTTTTTTATTATACCGAAATTTCGTATGTTGTTCCACCCACTCCGGAGACTTTCTTAACGTTTGAGTGTCTAGCGGGACTGCCCGGGGTCCCCTGGGAGCTGGAGGTCGAACCTAACCGACACTCCACCCGGGCAATTCCTTTCGGCTGTCCGTTGATTTTACTGTGAGGCGTCTTCAGTTCAAGGTCGTCCCTGTGTCGGAAGAAAGAGATTGGGATCAGGGCGTTAGTAGGCAGGAAGCAATAGCTGCTCATAAGCCAGCCGGGGATCACGACTGTTGTCCCCCTGGAGAACCGAGGTCAAACTACACATTACATGAATGGCGTTAAATCAGAAGCATGCACACAGAGCCCCCTATAGGGATTGGAATATGTGACCCATGCAATCTTGCAGAAAAGCTTGCATGAACCACAATACAGTGGGATTAAAAACAAAACAAAACCCAATGCATTTTGGCTTAAAGCTCTTGTTACCAGTAAGTAAGCTTTAGAAGAGTTTTGAAAAACCTAGAAAACCATGTGGAAATGGAAAAACCAGCAAACAAAAACATTAGCAGAAAGGAAGCTGGCTATCTGCAGAAGTCCCAGTGACTGGTACAAGACCCTTTGAAGGTTGGATTTGGCTCCAGAACCAGAAGGTGTTCTGTTCCGAGATAAGGTTAAGGCCACCACGGCCACCAAGCAGGTTCCTTCACAAAATTAAGTCCCCCAGCCACTGAGAGGTTAAAGCAGTGCTTGGCGTTTTAGACTACAACTCTCGGAAACCTCAGCCAGTAGGGCTAACGGTAAGGAAAAACGGAGCTGTAATCCAAGCATATGGAGGGCCAAAGAGCTGTAATCCAAAACAATCTGGAGGGCTCTTCTGTCAGAGACACGGAACACACAATGCTGTGAAATGAATCTACAATGCAAGTGCACTCACTCAGTTTTGCTGAGACAGACCACCTTCTGTTATAGGATAAGGTCAAGCAAAAGAGAACACAACAGCTGCCTGTCATGCACAGCACTGATTGGCAGGAGAACAGTGACGTCACTAACCCAAAGCAATTATTTCAACACTGTAAAAAATTCATTTTTTCATTGTTCCTTAACAGAAAGAGTGGGGGGTATATATATGATTGGAAAAAGTGTGCATGTGGCTATTTTAACTTAAAAAGAAAAATAAAAGAAACACAGCCTGTCTTAACCAAAGGATGTGACAAAATGACAGAACTGTAATCTAGTTTGCTTACAAGTATGGCTGTTGAATGTACAGGGGGCAGGAAGAAAAGATGGGGTTGAACTGAAGGGAGAGAAAAAGCAGATGCAGTGAATTCTGATTTGCATGTATGCTTATTAGTTAGTTATGTGTAGTCAAGTTGGACGCACTTTATTGTGACCCTAATAGGGCTTTCAATGTAAGTGAGTTATTTAAGGTTATATCCAGGTTCAATACATCCACATTTTTCAGTATCTGCTGGGGGGGGGGCTTGGAACTGATCCTCACAGATACTGTGGTCCTACTGTATACACCACCCCACAAGTACAACCCCCCCACAAGACTTTGACAATATCTATTATATAGTGTTACATATTTTGGACCTTTAAAACAAAGACTTCTGTCTGCAAACAGGTGAAAATTGCAAATACCGAAGCATTTGAAATATCAGATTTATAACCTATCCTCTGTATTTTTCTTGGATGGAGAGAGCAACTAAGAAATACTAAAGAGAATGTATAAAGACCAAGAAATTGCAAGACACATAAAATTCAGAGAACTAGAGGACTTCCCTTTATGTGTCCCTTCATGAGGAATCTTGGTCAGCATGGCTAAGAGTCAGGTATTATGGGAGTTGTAGTCTGAAAGAAGTGGAGGGCCAAAGATCCCTTACCTTTTCTTTTCAAGCAGGGGTTCCTCACCTTGCTTGATCTTGGCCTACAACTCCCAGAGATCCTGGCCACCGCAGTGAGGGGTGAAGGCTTGTGGGAGTTGTAGTCCAAGAACATCTGGGGGCTACTGAAGCCCTGACTTCAGTCTCCAATCCCCTTCTTTCTGCTCTGCCTAGGTGTAAAAAAAGTCCCAGTACAGCATTCTAGCCAACCCTTCCCTCACTCCCCATACAATCTTCCCCCCCCATACACCATGACAAGAAGGATTCAGATGGATCTAACAGAGAGGAAATGAACTGAAGGACATTTTAATAATCACAGTTCAGCATCATGGGGGGGGGGTTGAGCATTTGCCTCCACAACATTTAAATATTCTCCCAGAACTTGAGAGATCATCTTCTCCCCCTTTAAATTCCCAGACATTAAAACATAGCCTTCTAAGGGAGAAGCAACAGTAACTAGTACAGAAATCAGGAGAGACAAAGATTTGAGATTTGTGTGTGTGTGTGTGTGTGGGGGGTAAGTAACTAGTATAGAAATCAGGAGAGACAAAGATTTGAGACTTGTGGGGGGGGGTTTAGTGTGTGTTTTGTTCTGTTTTATTTCCTAGAGGCGAATGCTTGAACACCAGGGGTTCCCAACCTTGGGTCCCCCAGATGTTCCCCCAGGACAGTAACATGTAAATTCCTGATTGAGGCAAATGCTTGAACGCCAGGCGTTCCCAACCTTGGGTCCCCCAGATGTTCTTGGACTACAACTCCCAGAAGCCTTCACCACCCATTCTGCTGGCCAGGATTTCCAGGAGTTGTAGCCCAAGAACATCTGGGGGCCCAAGGCTGAGAACCACTAGTGTACATCGTATCTACATTACACCGTTTTGGGGTTCGATTCCCCTTCAATGGTCAAGATTCCACCCTACGGAATGCTAGGATTGGTAATCGGATGAGGCACCTAGAACTCTCCGCTTGCGTGCTCTAGCACCTTCTCCTGGACTTCAGAGCTAGAGCTCTCAAGCGCAGAATTCTCAGTACCTCACAAAGCTGGTGGATTACCCAAGATGGACTCAGGACAGGAAAACTTGAGATACCAAACGGTTACTATGGTGCAGTATGGACACATTCTGCAAATTAAGGAACAGAGTGCCTCTGAGCATACATACTACCTGGGAATTGGAGATAAAAGAACCCCAGACAGTCCAGTCCCAGAAAAATCCCATTGTGGTTGCCCACCCACCCTTAGCTTTTGTTGTTTAAAGGGACGGGGAGGGGGGGCTTTCTCCCATTGCACTTATTGAATATTGGAGGGTGAGAAAAAACTTGTCCTCCTTCTCGGGTAAGCCCCCCAGGAACAAACTGGTAGGACACGATCTATGTTCTGCCTGCCTCTGCTGAAAACCACCACAGACCCTGTTCTGCGATCCATACCTTGGCGCGCCCACAGGGGGTGCCTCTGTTAACTCCACCGTGTTGACGAACGAGACAGCTTTGGGACCTCCGTACGAGGGCGACCTGGGTATCCCGCTGGGGGACGATGGGACTTGGTGGCTGGGTGATTTGTAAGAGCCATTGCTCATTCTCCCCTGCAAGGCCTGATGCGCCTGGACATTGTTATTGGCCAAGTCTGCCTGGAGGGAAGGGGTGGAAGTCCTCGAGGCCCTGGTCAATGCGCTGGAGAGCGAAGAGACGGACGCCTGGCGCACCGGGTTCCTCACGCTAAAGCCCACGGTGGTCATGAGGTTATCCCTCGAGCCGTACCGCAGGGCGAGGCTGCGGGGGTTTTCCGACATGAGACTCACTTGCTGGAGGCTGTAAGAACTAGGGGTGTCGTAGACGCCCGAGTCTGCGAAGACGGAGTCCGGGTGCGAGAGAAGGAGCTTCTCCCGCTCCTCCATTTCTTTCCTCTCCTGGATCGAGGCCATGATGGTTTTGGACAGGTTGTCGTAGCGCACCGGGGAGGGGTCCCGGGGGTGCGGGGCTGGCCCGCCCAGCACCGGGCTGAAGCTCTGCAGAGGGGGCCGCTGAAGCTCTCGGCCCCGCAGATGGCCCATTTTGGCCGAGAGGTAGGGGGAGTGGTAGCCCACGGAGCCCAGGGCGGAGTGGGCAACGCACCTCCTCCCGGAAGGGGACATGGGGTTGAGCAGGCTGTCGTAGGACAAGCTCCCGTTCCTGTTCGAGAGGGAGTTAGGGGAGAAGATGCTTTTGTAAGGGGTGGAGGCGGCCCCTTCCGACTTCATGGGGTGGAGGGCCATTTTGTCCGTTCCTCTCCGGCCGGCCGATTTCAGGCTCAGGGACCTCGAGTTGACGGCAAAGGAGTCGATCTGCAAAGGGGACGACTGGTACGTCTTGTGAAGGGAACTCTTCCGGTAGCTGGGAATGTCGAGGCTGGGCTCCGACTGGTAATCTAAGCTGCTGTCGTTTTCCTCCATCACCGAACTTGGTTTGTGGCTTTCCTGCAGGGAGATCTGAAAGAGAGGTCAAGAGGAAGATGGCCGTGTCACAGAACAGAGAGGAAAAACCTTTGGGGGGTTAAAGGATGGAAAGAGAGTTGCCTCAGGACACAACACAGATTGATTGATTGATTGATTGATTGATCAATCGATATCTATCTAAAATATTTTTACACTACCTTTCTCCTTAAAGAGGACCCAAGGCGGCTTGTGTTATTTAAAATATATATATTTAAAAGCAAAAGCAGGAACTATACAAATACTGAATCAAACAAATATTACGTTAAAAAATGGTGGACGGAATGATGGACGAAGACTCAGGAGACCTGTGTTCGAATCCTCTCTCGGCCACGGAAACTCACTAGCACGTGTGTGCGTAGAATGGGTAAAAATCACTCCTGAAATTTCTCGCTTACCTCGAAAACCCTATCAGGGTTGCTATAGGTTGGGTGCACGACACGGAGCACGAAACACACATGATGTAGAAATTATGCCTACCATGTAATTATAACTAAAACACAACTATAATTGTAACTATAATGTACTGTAGATCTTGTAAAAAGTGGAATATGTGTTTGGTGAAATGATGGTGCTTTGGGACCTTCAAACTGGAACCTGTAGCTCCTTATTTATTTTTTTTAAGCAGCTAAGCCAACATACTGCTAAACTGTTCCTGAAAATGGAGGCTCTATCCTAATCGAATCATGCCCTTCCTGAATATTCTCTCCGGCTCCTTTGTTTCATGATGCAAATCCTGCACTAAGCAGGCATACAAAGAAGGAGCAAGACAACAATGAGAAGCTCTTGAGACAATCAGCTTTCCACCCACAGCTAACCAGGAGCCATCATCTCAGCCCTGCCGAGCAACCTCGTGAATGAATTTTCTCCATCCATCAGGAGACAAGGAACGATTTATGAGACTCTCTCTCTCTCTTTCTCTTTGTGGGGCAGAGTTCTTTATTGCCGTCCCTGCCTCACCTTTCACAGGCAAAAAAGGTCACAGCTAAAGGTGGGGTGTACTTTACCGGAGGGAGAAACGTATTTCATGTTTAAGGGGACATTTTATATACGATGGCTAGAAACGGAACAAGCCATGTGAACTGCGCCAGAAATGTGCTTTGTTCCTGCAGCTCTCCTTCCCGTGCTGGGTTGTATCTTCCAGTTATCCGTTTTGCTGTCTTCAGCTCTGGTTTACATTTGCTAAACATGCCCCCCAACCAGTAAATATTTTGCTTTCTCCAATTGTGTTTTGGCTTTTCTGCCAGACATGGTGTATTGTTTTAAATTGTTGTGCAGTATACAGAAATCTTATGATACAAGGCAGAGGAAGGAAGGAAGGAAGGAAGGAAAGGAAGAAAAGAAGGAAGGAAGGAAGGAAGGAAGGAAGGAAGGAAGTGTAATAATAATTATTATATGCTGTAAAGTCATTTCCAACTCATGTTTTAGAGAGTTTGAGAGATATAAAATAGATCATACCAGTCCCTCCTTCTAGTAGCACCTTGGAATTATGCAGCATCACTAACTGGGCAGTCAGCCAGTCAATCAATGAATCAATCAATCAATGAATCAATCACTGAATCAATGAATCAATGAATGAATCTTAACCTAGGGGTTTAGAAATTTACTTTTTAAAAAATGTCCAATAGCCTTAGAATGCTGACTAATTGATTGCATTTTATGTGAAGAAAGAGATGAGTTTTATTTGTATAAAGACAACTAATCTTCCTTCCTTCCTTCCTTCCTTCCTTCCTTCCTTACTTCCTTCCTATCAGAGCATTGCACAGTTTGAAATCATAGACAGACATGAAATATAGTTAAAATTAAGAACAAATTAAAATATTAAGGTAATTAGACTAATTCTATTTATTTATTTATTTGTTCGATTTATACCCCACCCCCCTAGACAGCATCCACTAAGCAGGCCACTTCAATAGTGTCATCTCAGCCATCTTCTCCTGTAAACGTGGTGGGGCATAAATTTCACGCACTGAAGTGCTGCATGGATTGAATTTCTCCCCATCCACAGAAAAATCATCCTGCCTTCAAGCAGCCCCACCGTAATAATAGTCCATTGGCTCAGCGGCATCCACGATTTGTGACTTTTATGCGGATTCCCCACCCCCCACCCCATAGTACTGCAATCAGAAATAGGTTTACCTGTTCAGATGTTCCATGGTAGTGCACTTTCGGATTGTTGCTGAATGCCGGACGGTATTTGTACATCGCAGGTGTGGGAGGGCTGATCAGCTTGGGTGAAAGGCTACTCTCTGGAGAAAAAGGGAAAGGAATCAAATTTTGTATCTTTATATATTGGAGTTTTTGCAACCTTGCATGCTGCCTTTGTATCTTTATATATTGGAGTTTTTGTAACCTCGCATGCTGCTTCTAGGGGCTGGGAGGGACATTTCCGGGCCAGGATGACGGTCCGTCTATCCAAAAGTCACCAATCATTCCTTGCCTGCCCCTGATTTCAAGGACAGCCCTACTTTTTTGAGTTTCTTCCCTCTGCTGAGTCTGTTGGAAAAAGTGAATCGGTTGCTACTCTGTTCAGGCCTGTTGTTCAAAGCAGTCAGGCTTTCAGTTTGCTGTTAATCTGATCACTGTAAGTAAATGAAATCTATTATTCTTTCTATGTTAATGCTTTAGAGTGAGTTATTGCGCCTGGAAGGGCCAGTTCACAACAAAAACAGGGGTGGACTAAGTCTGGGGAAACTTGAAGCTATTCTGCTCTGTGAATCCCTGCACTTCTGCTGCACAGCTAGAGGAATTTAACCAAGACATTCAAAACTGTATTCCTGAATCAAGCAGGGGGTTAGACCCCATGGCCTTAGAGGCCCCTTCCAACATGATTCTATGACTGCAAACCAATCGATCTTTCCATTTGCTAAAGGGCTGGGGTGGGGGTTCCTCCATCACAGCAGAATTCCATGGTTTCAGCAAAAGGAAAGTTTTGAGAGAGTCCAAAGCACGTTCACAGTTTTTTTTTAAAGCACTGATAAAGGGTTTTACCTTCACTGCTCTCCTGCTCACTGTATTTGCTGGAATCTCCCTTGGGGGGTAAAGGAGGTTGAATATCCATGGTTTTATCTTCCAGCCCTTCCAGGCTCACTTTAGACTGAAAATAACCATAAAGCAAAAATTAATTAAGCATCAAGCAGGGGTTTTGAATTACATCATCCTGGTCCATAGTAATAATTGCAGGCCATCAAGTTAATTCTGACTTATGGCGACCCTTTCCAGTGTTTTGTAGGTTGAGAACACACAGAAGTGGTATACCACTCCTTTCCTCTAGGGGGAGCCCTAGGACTGTGCAGGTGGCCCAAGGCCACACAGGCTGGCTCTCCTCCCCAGAAGGCACAGTGGCGGAATTGAACTCCAACCTATGGCTTCACAGCCAAATACTTAACTCACTGAGGTCAATTCTCTAACAGCTCTATAGGCATTCCTATACAGACTTTCAACAGAAGCTGGGTTGACGTATCTGAGATGCTGAACCTATTTTGGGATTGAGGGTTCAGAACCTTGGAAAGCGACTGTAAAGTTCGGACTAATATTCAAATAGGAAATCAAAATGCCTCCATGGTCCCAGGTACTCTGAGGATTACTCAGAAGGAAAAAAGGGGAGGCCCTTAGAAGTGTAGGTCATTGTCCCTCCGAACCCAAACATCAACCTTGTAAGTTTCGACTCCAACCCAACTTTGATTCTATGCACATCAGTTTTGTGCGTGATTCTGCTTGGCAAATTGTGAAAAAAATAAAATCAGGCAAACCCCCACAAGTCCAAAGTCCGCTGAACCCTTTTGTCAGTGGGTGGTAAGGAATGTTCACCTTACTCCGGTTGAGATTGGCTTGGATGCCATTGTCACTTATCTTCACCGTGATCTGTCGTTCCGTTAAATCTGGTCTCAGAAAAGGTGGTTTTATGCTTATTGGCTGTTTCTTCTTTGGCTCAACAATGTACCTTAGAAAAACGATAACTGAATCAGTCCCCTCTCTCTATAAATCTAGTTCTTTCTCTTGAACATAAAAAGACATTTGCAAATTTTGGTAAAAAAAATTTTCTATGAACAAATCACAGAAAAATGTCTTATCATCTGCACTGGCCAAATGAAGATTGCGGAGTTTCTCATTCAAAAAAGATTACCTCCCTAATTCAAAACTACAAAGATAATTTGGATACAGAGAGATTAAAACTCAGATTTTAAAAGCCTCATCACCCAAACTCCTCTCCCTCGAGAAGTAAATCAACTCATTCATGAATAGAAGAAAATAACAAAATTTGGAACGCTCTTCTCACATCAAACGAAATGTTCATCCATTACTACCTGTTAGATTTTGTAAACAATGTTTTTTCTTAAAGATAAAACTTCTTGGCGTACAGAAAACTTTCTTCTGCTGTTCTTTTCATTTTCTAGATCATGGAGATCATATACAGTATGTAATAATATATTGCAGATTTATATCCTTCCCCCCTCCTCTCTTGTTTAGGGGGAAATGATGTCCATGTCATTTTAGTGAAATCTGCCAAGAAAATGGAAAGCTATAGCTCTCCACTAATTATCATGTTTAGGCGGCAGAGATGAGTTTGAGAGGTTTCTGTTTTCTACTTTAGGCAGTGGTGTGTGTCTTGGATAAAGACAGATGACAATGTCATGAGTTTGAGGGGACTAGGATGACAGCATAACTGTTCTGAAATCAATATGAATGTTAAATGGCCAATGTGAATCTATCAGAGGAGGAATTTCTAGGCTGTAAAATCAATTACAAGGGGCTGCAGAGGAAACATAAAATACTGTACCTCGTTCTTCTCAATTAATCCCATCGATCAGAATTCTACTTATTAACAACACACACAGACACAGCACAGAAAACATGTCAGAATGGCTGTGTCCGGATGTCACGGTAAACCATAGTTTATTGTGACAAGAACAAACTTAGCTTCCCATGGGCTTCCTTGTTTTCCCTCCTGTGTTGTCCTTCTCAAACTCCACTGTAAACAAAAATTTGGAAGCTTTTGCTGTTTATTTTTTTAAGAATGGCAGCTTGGTTATCATCGGAACCGGACAAAACTGGGATTAATCTTAACCATGGTTTCTCTGAAATAAGCCAACATCCAAAAAATGGTTTATGAAGCTATCCTGTTTCAAGAAACTATTCTAGAGGGGGCATTCTTGATTCTCTTGTACACAATAAATAAAAAAACACCCTAGGGAGCAGAATTTGATCAACCACTGGCATTTTATAATACTGTTCCTTTAGCTTACCTGGGTGCCAGAGGACTGCAAAGGACATGTTCCACATTACCACAGCATCCTCGAGTGAAAGGATTTACTCCCCCACGGAATTTGCCCGTCACCTAGAATTATAATATTCGGGGCACTTTGAGAAAAGAGAAGTGTCCACTACCTAAAGAAAATCACAGTTTTGGCCAACAGACCTAAGCTAGTCTAGTGAAGCTTAATCAACTAACAATTACTGCTCTTTTGGAGGGGTTAAGTAAGCAAAGGAATCTGATTAAGGAGATGACAAAGGGGATTCACTCAATCACATGGTACACTCTTGCTTCTTAAGAAAGGGGGTGAAAGCACATCTGAGTCTCAACTGAGCTACATAGTTCAGGTGGCACTCAAAACTACCAGGATTTCTGGGAGTTGTTGTCTAAGAACATCTGGAACACCCATCGTTGGAAACCACTGCCCTACATGACAAAGGGGAAGCTGGTGTTTTGACCAAACCATATGGTCTGAAGAGGGCTTGTCAACCTGATCAGCTTGGGTGAGCAGATTGTCCAGATCCCTTTCTTTCTAATTACTGGCCACACTGCCTTCACTGTTTCTTCTAGACGGGGTGGCTAAAAGAATTTAAGCCCATGCCAGGGGTGGAAAAATGTAGCATTACTTCTGCACTTGGATCATGGTTTATCGCCCCTCTCAGAAAGCCAGGATCTGAAAGTCAACTGCAAACCTTGATTTCCAACTCTAGCTTGTTAGAGAAACCCAGTTCTGAGCATACTGTTAACCCTTCTGTGACCAATTAGATCCTGGCTACTGTCGGACCTCTTGTTTGTAAGAACAGCCATCCAAGAACAATTCAGCGATATTCACCAGGACACTGATTCATTAACTATTTAGTTATTAGTCAAGGTACAAATACAGCTTATTTTCTGCTCCCTGACTCTTTCTCTCTACTATTTTATTTTCTGAAGACAACATGGATTTATGCATTATCATCTCTATGTGCATGTAAAGCTTTTAAAAATATGGTGTGGAAAAATATGGTATATGGCTTGGTTGTGAATCCACTTGATCCCCCAAATCAGTGGTTCTTAATCTTTGGTCCCCAGATATTCTTGTGCTAAAATTCCCATAAGTCTTCACCACTAGCTGTGCCGGCCAGGATTTCTGGGAGTTGTTGTCTAAGAACATCTGGAACACCCATCGTTGGAAACCACTGCCCTACATGACAAAGGGGAAGCTGGTGTTTTGACCAAACCATATGGTCTGAAGAGGGCTTGTCAACCTGATCAGCTTGGGTGAGCAGATTGTCCAGATCCCTTTCTTTCTAATTACTGGCCACACTGCCTTCACTGTTTCTTCTAGACGGGGTGGCTAAAAGAATTTAAGCCCAGGAATGGAAAAATGTAGCATTAGTTCTGCACCTGGATCATGGTTTATCGCCCCTCTCAGAAAGCCAGGATCTGAAAGTCAACTGCAAACCTTGATTTCCAACTCTAGCTTGTTAGAGAAACCCAGCTCTGAGCATACTGTTAACCCTTCTGTGACCAATTAGATCCTGGCTACTGTCGGGCCTCTTGTTTGTAAGAACAGCCATCCAAGAACAATTCAGCAACATTCACCAGGACACTGATTCATTAACTATTTAGTTATTAGTCAAGGTACAAATACAGCTTATTTTCTGCTCCCTGACTCTTTCTCTCTACTATTTTATTTTCTGAAGACAACATGGATTTATGCATTATCATCTCTATGTGCATGTAAAGCTTTTAAAAATATGGTGGGTTGTGTTTATCTTGTTGCATTTATTATTTTAAGCTGTTTTGAAAATTTTATAGTGAGCCTCCAGGATAATACATCATGCAAATTAAATATCACCACCACTGCATCGCCAATGTTGTCGTCATCATCATCCCATCTTACCTGTTCATTGGTTGTGCGTCCTCGGGCCACCAGAACAATATGGAAACCTGTGAGACCAATGACTGGGATGAAGAACAACCCAGCCACACACATGACAGCCAGCCTGTAGGCCAATGTTAAGGAAATTCCATCCTTTTAAGGATTAAAAATAGACAGAAGGAAATGAAAAACAGTACAATAGGGCCACCATATCCATGGGAGATTGGTTCCAAGCCCCCACCCCACCCTCACAGATGCTGAAAAACACTATTATAGTAGCGAACATGATAGCATGGTCTCTGATTCCCCCTAGTGGCCAGTTCTGATAATGACATCATAGAAATGTATTTCTCTAACACTACACATAGCATGGTCTCTTGCTCTCTCTAGTGGCCTGTTCTGGTAAAACCTGGGAAAATTCTTTCTTTCTTTCTTTCTTTCTTTCTTTCTTTCTTTCTTTCTTTCTTTCTTTCTTTCTTTCTTTCTTTCTTTCTTTCTTTCTTTTACTATTCTATGTATAACGTTCACTATTATCCACGATTTTCAACATCCGTGAGGGCTTGTAACCAATCCCCCTTGGATACTGGGGGTCCTACTGTAATGTTATGCCAGTAATGTTGTCCTAAAAAGCAACCTAATGTTGCCTTAGGAGTCCAGATTTCCTGCATGGGTAAAAAACCCCTGAAACAAAGATTGGTAAATTACCCAAATTACTTCCATCATAAGGAGGGCAGTGTGGCCCCCTAGGGACTCTTGGAGGGAGAGACTGGGGTCCTAAGACAGTCAGACCTATAACCAGGGTCTGCTATTCCCCATTGTTGGTTCAGATGTCTGTGTAAATACCCGGTAATAGTGGAAATTGATGCATTCAATTCCACAAGGGTGGTAACTCCGAATTTAGTCCAAATTTAAGGAACCCATCCAAGGTGCTGGATTTGATTTGGGGACAACTTCCATCCCCTTGGGGGAATCCTGTACAGCAGAGATGAAAACCAGCCTGTGAGCACCAGGATCCAAGCAGGAAGGCTTTAATAACCAGAATGCCACTTGTTGCTCCCGAGAGACTCCACTACCCAACCTCTGCCAGTCTCAAGAGGTACCACGCAGCTCTTCCCAGCCAACTCTGAGCATCGTCCCAGCCACGGAAGCAAGGATACGTGATGGCGGTGTGCACCGCCCCCAGCTTTTCGGCATGGTGCAAGACGAAGATGAGGCCAAAGGCGAAGACGCCGACCATGTGGGCACTTAAGGACAACAAGAAGAGGAAAAAATAGCGGTAGTTCCTCCGTCCAATGCAGTTATTCACCCACGGGCAGTGGTGGTCAAAATCCTTGCAAAGAGAGAAAAAGGCAGGAAATGAGGTCCCGCTACAGAAACGACCCACAATTTCTGTCCGGCGGTTTGGACAACGTTTAGCAGGACCTCTTTTTCGCAAAACACAGAATCCATCCGGAGATGCAGTGCATCTTTTTGAGAATCTTGGATGGGCTGTATTATTTTGAAGTGGTTTTAGGGCAAGGAAGCCAAAACTTCAGGACCTCCAGATGTTGGTTTAGCTCCAGAAGATGTTGGTTTAGGGCAGTAGGTTCCCAACCTTCCATCCCCAGATCTCCTTGGACCTCAACTCTTGGGAGCCCTGGCTAGCATACCTGGTGGTGAAGGCTTGTGGGAATTGTAGTCCAAAACATCTGGGTTACTCAAGGTTGGGAATCAGCGGTTTAGGACAAGGAATTGAAAGCTACAGCTCCCCTCCCCAGATGTTGGCTTAGGGCGAGAAGAAGTTGAGGGCAGTGGTTCCCAACTTTGGATCCCCGGATCTTCTTGGGCTGCAACTCTCAGAAGCCCTGGCTAGCGTAGCTAGGGGTGGAGGCATCTGGGAGTTGTAGTCCGAGAATGCCTGGGGGCCTGAGCTTAGGAATCACGGATTTAGGACAAGGAGGTGGAAGCTGTAGCCCTCCACAGACATGGTGGGACTCCGAATCTCCCTCAGCTTTGGAACCACGGCTTTAGGACAAGGATGTGGAAGCTGCAGCTCTCCACAGACATGGTGGGACTCCGAATCTCATCAGCCTGTACACTCGCCATGATGGCTAGGGACGATGGGACTTGGACTCTAGCAACATCCCTTGCTTCAAAAAACATTAAGGCACAGGAGGAAATCTTTGAAAGAGATGGCCCCGGTTCCAGGCATTTTGTCCCAACAATTGACAGGATGCCATAAAGAAAACATTGGATAATAAGTCCATGGTCATATTCCTATCCCAACCAAAATCCAACCAACACAGTTTCATATTTTCCTGGAAACAGGAACAAGAAGGTAGGTGTTTGAGAGCAAGTTAGGTTTTGATGCCGAGCACATTTCAGGCCTCTCCTTCCAATATCTCTTCCGCCTCACTAAATCGCGGCCCTCCTCCTTTCGTCCTTTGTTTGGTGTCTTTGGGCCCTCCGCCCCCGCATCTGGGAAACGGGAATGCGCCGTTAAGGAAAGGGGAGCGTTACATTTTCCCGAATGCCTCATAAAAAATAATGAGGACATCGAGGCTGGACGGCAACGGCCAGGGTGGGTGGGGAGACGCGCCGTTCCAAGCGCAGGGCAGGAAAATTTACACGTCAAGCCTCAAGCATTTTAATTAACTGGGATGGGGGGGGATGGGAAAGGCTTATTTTTCTTATCTGCCTATGGGATGCAGCAATTGGTTAAATGGTCCACCCCCCACAAACTGATCTATAACATATAGGGGCTCAACCCCAGTTTCTCCATGGTTAGAATAAAAGGTCCGATGGACGTAATTGCATCTAAACACTGGGTTGCTTCGGGTACCACGTTCTTCACTTCCTAAGTCCGAAAAGGTACGCCAGGTGCCCACACCTTACTTTCCATCTTCTCCTGCCATTGCAGGAGGTTCGAGACACAGCACAAAAAAGCTACGGCAGATATTTTCACAGGCGATGCAGGTGCCATTTTTAGAGCTATTATTTATTTAATTCATTGGTTGCAGGGTAAACTGTGCTGTGTTAAGGACAGAGAAGGACAGACTAGGACTCAGGAGGGCTGGGTTCAAATTCTCAGCCTTGAAAGCCCATGGTTATGTAGTGGTGCTGATAATATCTCCTATGGCATTGAATACCCTATTAGACTCACTGCAGTCGGATGTCACTTGATGAAACATAACACTTTATTTATATCCTGCCCTATAGCGCAAGAAAGGAAAGCAGTATGAAACAGAGATACTGAATCCTTTTCAAGCAGAGGGAGGCTGCCTGGCCCCAAGATGGCCGGCCTAGTGAGTTCCATGGCTCAGCAGGAACTAGAACTCAGATCTCCCAACGTCTAGTCAAGCACTCCATTACCGATTGAGAAATACCGGCCAGAATCCTGTTGGTGATCTATATCGACTTCCGTGAAATTTGTTGGGAGTTTTTTTGCAACCTCGCAGGCTGCCTCTAGCAGGTGTGCCTGTGCGAGAACTTTCTGGGCGGGGATAACTGTCAATCTGTTCAGCACTAGCCATTTGTCCTTTGCAACCTCGCAGGCTGCCTCTAACAGGTGTGGCTGTGCGAGAACTTTCTGGGCGGGGATTAACCGTCAATCTGTTCAGCACTAGCCATTTGTCCCCTCCGGTCTCTGATTTCACAGAGAGCCCAGCCTCTCTGATTTTGAATCCCCAACCCCCTTTTCTGTTGTCTGCTGGAAGCCGTAGTCCGTTCAAGCCTGTTGCTGAAAAGCAGGATTGTTTGTCAGTTTGCTGTTTGATCCGTCGAGCTGTTAAGTAAATGAAACCTTTTTATTCCTTCTCGATGAGACTGTAAGTGCCAGTTAATGAGGGGGAAAAAAGGGGGTTTACTAAATTGGGCAGCCAGAGGTTATTCTGCTCTGTGAATCACGCACTGCAAGAATAATTTAACCAAAAATTCTCCAAACAAACTGCCTAACTCAACACAGAAAGCCACCACTAAATAACGAGGCAGAATTCTTTATGTAAATAGAAATATGGTATGTCTTAGTCTGATGGGAACTAGGGGGGCACAAATGTGTGGTTTTGGATTATGACTCCCAGAATCTACCAGGAATGCTGTACTCACCATGGACAAGAAACTTTAAGATCTATACTCTAAACTTCTGGTCCTTTCCTTTCTTTTCCTTTCCCAAAGGATACTTGGACTTGAAACACTCTTTAGAAGAGAACTGCCCACCACCAGCCCTTCCAGTAAAGAACTGAGCTGCATAAAATGGGACATGTGGCCAACCTACACCCCACCCCACATTAAATTCCTCTTTACATTCCTAAGTATTTGTGAAATCCAAAACCTAAATGTGAATGGAACCGGCTGGATTCGAACTGTGGCCCTAAAGGCATCCAAGAGGCGTCTGGAAGGGGACACCCACGAATGCTTCTCTTGGCATGGGACAGGATGCATAAATACGGAGGATGTTCACAGGCATCGGAAACCCAAAAATGAAGGGAAGCCAATCAATACATTTCCTGCCGTGAGGACAGAATGCATTGATTTGGCAGATGTTAATTGCTCTGCTTCTTCTCATTGGTAAGAGATCAAAGCTTAGTAACGGAACAAAGCTGTCCGTGGTAGCCAATCAGAACAGAAAGTGAGGGCAAGATGCTCTGTGCTATTTTCAGAGCCAGGAAACCCTCCTTTTTCTACTTTTTCTTTTTAACTACAGCTCTCAAGTTACAGTCACCATGCCCTGAATCCCTGACCCAGCATGGCTTAATAACAAGGATGACCAGTGGACTGGAAACCAAGCCCTAGGAGGAAAGACGGAAAGAATTGGGCATGTTTCGCCTTGAAAAAAAAAGAAGACTGGGGGGGAGATAGGAGAGCACTCTTCCAATACTTGAAAGGTAGTCCTACAGAGGAGGGGCAGGATCTGTTCTTGATTATCCCAGACAGCAGGATACACAATAATGGCCTCAAGCTACAGGAAGCCAGATTTAGGCTGAATATCAGGGAAAACCTCTTAACTGTTAGAGTAGTACAACAATGGAACCAGTGACTTCAGGGGGTGGCGAGTGCTCCAGCACTGGAGGCATTCAAGAGAAAATCAGGCAACCATCTGTAAGATCTGGATTTCTGCACCGCACAGGGATTATGACCCGATGGCCTTGCAGGTCCCTTCCAACCCAATTACTGTATGATTCCTTGATTCTCATATTAGAGCCATGTGGTTTTTGTGGTCTGTGAGCAAAACGTTCAAAAGCACAGCTGGTTGGCAACTTTAAAATATAAAACGTGCATGCCTCCGAATCCTCCAGGATTGTGCATCAGCTTGAAAGTGGTGGCAACTTTAAAATATCATAAAACGTGCATGCCTCCGAGCCCTCCAGGATTGTGCATCAGCTTGAAAGTGACAGCACCTGGATCGAACCCGTCTTAAAGAAGTGTTCTTCTGGTTACACACTGTGTAAGGTTCTACAGTAGACTGTGTGGCTTCAAAATCTAGCTATGGTGAATTTTGGACAATCCTGGCCAACCTTCACTCCAAATTCTATGCTGCCGTGCTTGACAAAGGGTCCAGCAGGACTCAAAACCCTCACCCTTTCCATTATATTTCAGGATTGCAATAAAGATATAAGCCAGTAACAGAGCAACTGTCTTTCTGTATGGTTTTGTAGCATCATTAGAGGTGGAGGGGAACCCAGAGGCTGTCTATCCTAGCCTCCTGCTTGATGTAAGAAAATGAGACCTATAGCATACCCTTCCAGAGAGAGCGAAGTTGGGGTGATGTAATAATACATCACCCCTGCTTTGGGGTAATTGTGCAAACACCATGTAGGAGTAGAAGTTGATACACCTGATTTTACAAGTGGGTGAAGCCATTTCAGGTTTTAGCCCCCAATTCAAGAGAGAGCACCATATTGGCAGAATAATAATTTATGCAGCAGGATTTTGCCCCCATGCAACAAAGATACATCATGCTGATTCCAGCCCTTTTCACACATTCGCTGAACATGGAAGAGCTGTTTCTGCTAACAGTAAAAATCTTCTGCTTGAGCTATCCTAGGTTTTGAGGTCCTGCAACAAGCAGGGACGTGGTTGAGATCAGAACATGGGAATCTTTGGGCATCCAGGTGCTAAGGACTGCAGCTTCTTGGCCATGCAGGTAGCGGCTGCTGGGAAGTGGATTTTAGCTCACTTTTGGAAGGCTTCCTCCTGGACCTGAAGGTCTATAAGGCCCCCTTTTGGAGCTCTTCCTCCTGGACCAGATGGCCTACAAGACTCCCTTTTGGAGATCTTCCTCCTGGACCAGATGGTCTACAGGGCTCCCTTTTGGAGATCTTCCTCCTGGACTAGATGGTCTACAAGGCCCCCTTTTGGAGCTCTTCCTCCTGGACCAGATGGTCTACAAGGCTCCCTTGAGGAGAGCTTCCTCCTGGACTAGATGGCCTAAAGCCCACCTCCTGTTCTCTATGATTCTGTGAGTTAGATCATTTCTTTAAGGCTTCTATAAATTAAATTCTTGCTCTCACTCTCTCTCTCTTTGGGAAAATCGGTGCTTGTGGTTACACTTTGAGTGTTTACATCTTAGTCCAGCTGACTTTGACACTTCACTTAATGAGCATCTACTTGTTACTGATGATTAAATCACATCTCCCCACCCCACCCCATTTTAAATTACATAGCTGATTATATTAAGCACTCTTTAAATGTTTAATCATCAGATCATAGCAAGAAACATTGCGGCACAGAGGAAGTCACTCTTCAGAAACTGGATGTGGAGTACGGCAATCATAAACATTTTGCTTTGCAGATTAGAATACCAACTTCCAATGTACAATAAGGATACATCACCCCTACTTTGGGGTAACTGGCAAACACCATGTAGGAGTACAAGCTGGTCTACCTGATTTTACAAGGGGGTGAAGCCATTTCAGGTTTTAGCCCCAATTCAAAGGGACCTGTCCAAGGTGCTGAACTTCTAGTGGAGTTATGGTCCAGCAGCTTAAAAATAGTCCATCCAATTCAGAGGAAAACCACTCTGCAAGCCTTGGGATCAATGCAGGAACTCTTTAATTATCAGCAACTTGCAACTGCCAGTAACATTGTCTTCCTTATGCCAGCGTAGTTTACACAACAGGATTTTGGCCATGATGCATGAAATACATATTATGCAGAGATTCTAGCCCTTTCCACACACTCGCTGAACATGGAATAAAGCCATCATCTACACAGTCATGCACATGTGTGAATGGAGCCTCGTGCACATCCATTTGTCCAAAGGTGGTTCATCCAAATTATGCAATTTGCACAGAATGATCATAGCTTCGAATCAGGAACTTTAAAAAACTGGATGCATATAATGGGTTATTTGCATTTTTTAATCGTTCAGCCAATCTCTCTGTGCTTGCTCTGTGCGTTTGTGTGTCTTCACAATAGTAAAATAAAATAGATTTGCACAGAGACATTTTTTCCATTTTCTAATTTTTATGATGCAGTCCAGATAAAAATGAAAGCTAAAGAAAACGTTTGCCCAAATGGCACATCAATCAATTTTTTAAAAAACTGCTCTCCTTCTCTTGCTCTAGAGCTGAGGACTCTTATGGGGCTCGAAAAATCTTTGTCCAAGGACCTCATCATGTCCAGACGGCTTAAGTAAATGAAAATGAGGAAATCAGCAAGCATTCTTTGTACCCCTCATTCCCACCTATAGAATTCAAAGCCAAGGTGCGCATCCCACAGGGGAGAAACGAGGACAGGAAGAATATCTGCTAACCTGGGAGGAATGCTTGCCAACTGGAGATGCAAAGATTACTTACTTTCACTTTCACTTTTTTCCTTGAAGTTTCCAAAATTCTCAGTAAAAGTCATCTGCACAAAATGAATGTTTTTCTTTTGTGAAGCCAAGCACGCACCCTCAGAGAGAGCTGTCACAGAAGGACAGGCTGATTGATCAAAGAGGTAGAAGCAACCCATCCAGTGCTTCTCATTTTCAAAAGCCCTTGCAAGAAGTCAAGTAGCTGCACAAGTTTTCACAAATTGCATGATTCGAACAGTTTGCACAAATGCCATTTTCTCCAGTGGGAAAACTCTAGGCAAGAGGGACAAAAAAAAAACCTCACCCCCACCCCATGAGGCAAGATGAAAAGTTTGGCACTTTCTATTTCTTGGATGCCAGAAGAAGACGAGCAAGGATCAGTCCCCCACCCCACCCTGGGGGAGCCCAGTTAATGGGAGAGGATGGCCTCCTTACCTCAACACAGTTGTCACACACGCTGCAATGGGAGCAGCGGGGAGGACGATAGAAATGGCAGGTGGCGCACCACTTCATCCGTACTTGGATTCCTTTAATCTCCACGTTCTTGTACAGCGGAGCTCGGAAATCATCATCCTTATCCTCATCTTCGTCGGCTGCTCAAAGGTGTGCAAAAAAACCCCAAAACAGCAAAAAAAGAGGGATAATTAAAATTTACAGGCACCAGAGAACAAAGATCACTGCTGAAGACAATAGGGATAATTAAAGTTTACAGGCAGCAGAGAACAAAGATCACTGCTGAAGACAATGTGGAACAGGACAAGCTGGATTCCGCTGAGATTGTAGGGTGATCAGAAATAAAGGGTAAACTAAATTAATTACGTGATGACCATGGTGTCCACAGAGGATCAGTTGCAAGTACTACCACCCCCTGGATACCAAAAAACATGAAAGCATTGAATGTAAAGTTTACAGGCAGCAGAGAACAAAGATCACTGCTGAAGACAATGTGGAACAGGACAAGCTGGATTCCGCTGAGATTGTAGGGTGATCAGAAATAAAGGGTAAACTAAATTAATTACGTGATGACCATGGTGTCCACAGAGGATCAGTTGCAAGTACTACCACCCCCTGGATACCAAAAAACATGAAAGCATTGAATGCTATATCTATTGTATGGTCTCTGGTTCCCTCTAGTGTCCAGTTCAGGTAACTACATCCTGAAAAAACATACATATTTCTGGGTTTTTTTATTTATTTTCTAAAATATTTTATTTTCAGGCAGTGGATAAATGAACCAGCAGATACTGATCCTGCAAACAAGGGGTCCTGCTCTAAACAACTTCAGGCTGCAGTCAAGAGATATCCTGATTGAAACTTCTGCATTGTAAAATAAATATTGCAATCCCACCATTTAGAAAATGGGGACACCTGGATATTAGCCACGTGGAACAATTCTCCCTTGCATCTTCAGCCGTGCATGAATTTTTTTTTTTGCATAAGCCTCCTGATGGGGTGCTTGTGGACTGAAGGGCAAACACTTCTAGAAGAAGAGGCGAAGCTATGCAAGCAAGGATCGTCGGAGAATGTTTACGCACACATCTGTCAATCAAATGTAATGAAAGCCAGTGTGGTGCACATATTCAAACGACACTCGTATGCTGGCATATATCTCACAGGAGAATCAGTCACGGCCCACAATGATAATTAATTGTAAAAAAGAAGAACCAAATATCCTATCCCTCAGCAGAGAACTCATATTTCAGATCCTGGACGTTACGCAGCCTACATATTGCTACCCATGCAAAGGATGAATATGTTGCTGGATTTAACAGCCATCCAGGGTTTATTATCTATTTTAAATCTGAGGACCTAAATCACGGCCCAGTAAGAACTGAGGAGGTCATGGGAGGAAATGGAATGCTGGAAGAGAAAATATCCCGGAAAAGGAATTGACGGGCTAGCTGGTGCGAAGCCTAAACAGGAGCAATCTATACTGCAACATTTTATTATAGGTCCTGCCCGTACATTCTGAAACATTGGATGTAATCCTGTTGCGCAGTCATGCAAACGGCGTGACTTTTGGACATGAATTGCTCTCAGTTCAGAAATCTCCGCACGCACAATCTGTGGCAGGCTGAGTCACACCGCTCAGGGTGCGACAGAGAGTCTTTGTGGAGATTTCTAAACTTATTGCAATCCACTTTCACAAATTAAGCCATCACTGTGCGACAGGATCCCAGCACTGTGTTGAGGATTCGGAACGGATAATCCTGTGTAGCAAAACCAGCTGAACTGTATGGAATTTACTTATTCACTATTTCATGTCCCGCCCTTTAAAGGAAGGCTCGTAAAATAAAAACAACAAAGAAAAATCCAGTAGGAGCCCTTCCTATCTGTGGGATCCAGTATCCACTGATTCACTTATCCACTGGTCGAAAATACAAAATAACTCTCTCCCATCACCAAGAAATACCTATTTATATGTAGTTCTAGGGTGTAATCACCAAAACTGGCCACTAGATACAATCAGAGATCGTGCAATGTATAGTGTCTGATACTTCCACGTTTTCTAGTATCCACGGGGAGGGGATTGGAACTGATCCCCCCCCCGTGCATACCATGGTCCTACTATAAACAACAACAAAAAGAAGGAGCAGCATAAAAACTGCCGTTATAACAATTTGATTAGCATTTTAAATAAAACTGAAAGTCTGGGAAGACAAAGTGCCTTTGTTTAGCGCTAAACGGGCACTAGAGTCTGTCCTGGGGTTGGGTGGGCTTTCCATAAGAAGATAATTTCATAACAATTCGATAATATCACAAATAGGAAGAAAGAAAAAGGTAACAACTGGGCCACATTTTCCTCTGGGAGGTCCCGTTCTGTTTCCTTTTCCTTTCCTCTTTTCCTCCCCAAAAGATTTCAGCATCCTCCAGGCACTGAACACGTTCACTCCTCGGTGAACTCTTATTTTGATGTCCCCCTCCTCTCAGTTATGTTGGGGTGTGTGTTTTTGTTTTTTGTGTTTTTTTTGAGCAACCTCTTGCATTTCTACAAATTTTGGCGTTTACTCAGGCTTGCGAACATCTCCTGAGCGCTTGTCGTTCATGTTGGTAAGATAAGGATCCAGGCCTCAGACTCTCAGTTTGCGGCTTGTTTATAGGATTGTGAATAATACTTGAGGAATGCAAGGCGGTGTGTGTGTGTGTGTGTTTTGAAGGGCAGATAACAATGCACGATTGTACACATTTTGTTTTGCTGTTTTCGCTTTGTCGGCTTCCTCACCGCCTCCCTTTCTTCACCCCCCCTCCTCTGTGCTCTGAACCCGAGTTCCAGTTTACCTCGTGGAAAGACTCCAGGGTCCATAAATGTTGCCATGCTGAAGTTTGCCAGGACGAACAGGTACACAAGCCCATTGTATAGAGGAATGGCGGGGGACACGGCTCTCGTTAACCAGGGACACCTGCACAATGACACAAGAGACAAAGAAGACAGTTATTTTGTAGGCCCAACAAGAAATAGTTTCCCAATTACACTGAGAGTATATTTGCACTCCAACTCTGGGAGGCAGTGGAAGACAGGAGGGCCTGGCGTGCTCTGGTCCATGGGGTCACGAAGAGTCGGACATGACTTAACGACTAAATCACCACAACAACATACTTGCACTACACCATGACAGCAGTTTGACACCATTAGAATGACCACATCTCCAACCTCTGGGATTTGTAGTCTGGTGAGGTTCTTCATACAATTCATCAGAATTTTCTTTACAACCTCGCATGCTGTCTATAGTCTTTAAGGGACTGGAAAGGACATTTTCTGGGTTGGGACGATTGGCTATCTATCCAGCATCAACCAATCATTCCTTCCAGCTTTTGACACCCAAAGAGAGCCCCGCCTCTCTGTCCTGAGTGTTCTATCCCACTCTTTCATCCGTTGGTGGCCAATGTTTTGTTGCTATTGATCTGCTCAGTTGGTTGCTAGCATGTGCACAGTAAAGAAAGCAGACACACAAGTCTGTATTTTCAAGGAACTGTAAGTAAAGAAATGGTTTTTATTCTCTCTCCTACAAAGGTCTCGGAGTGAGACTTTAAGTGCCAGTTAATGAAAAAGGGGTGGAATTAGGAGAACGTAGTAGCTATTCTCCTCTGTGGATCTCTGCAATCTTTTACTGTATAGCAAAAACAGAATTTTAGCAGAAATTCTAGAATCCGCAACATTATCTACTAGAGAGCTCTACTGCACACCACAGAACTTTGCTCTCTAGCAAAGAATTCGTAAGTATCTCGCAAGATGACAAATCCTGTGAATCTGTAGGAGGAAGCCATGTCAGCTGATGTGTTATCAAATGTGCTAAGACTGTACTCTGTAGATATACGATAAGAAAAAAGTGTCTTGTTAACCACTTCCATCAAGAAGCACCACACACTGAATGCATTTTAATATGATAGACCACAGAAGTAAAAATAAGGACAACACAAATATGATGATTGCTTATGGATGGAACACAGCAGCCAGAATCCTGTTGCTGATTTATACATACGTAAGTTAAATTGTATAACTCACTCTGGTGTGTTGCCATTAACTAACAAAGCACTGGTCACATTACTTAGGTGCATCTCTGATGCCTCATAACGTCATTAGTGTGTGAGTGGCAATTTGTACATTTAAATATGTGATATAATACTAATAATTGTGTACTTTTGAATTAGTTTTGATGTCTGACAACACTTGCCAGGTTGCCTACACAAAAAAAGAAGAGGTTTGGCCACTCCCTTCTTCTGGGGCTGCCCTGGGACTGTGCAGCTTGCCCAAGGCTACGCAGGCTGGCTCTTCAGCCAGCAGGGAATTGTATTCCCAGTCACTGGCTCTACAGCCTGGCACTCCGAATTTAGGCATGCATAAATCACCAACAGGATTTTGACCAGTGGCTAAATTAGGACTAATAAATAAAGCCAAGTAAAGAAACCACTGGAGAGCAGGCACTACTCAGCCAGGTCACTGCTGGTTCCTGAGCTCCTAGACTCTTCGTGCTGATAGAAAAATTCTGGGAGTCACAGCCAAAACCTTTCCAAGCTCGGATTGGGTCCAAATGTTGTGTGGTTAAGGAAATGTGGCTTATCATGCCCCCTTCTACCAGATCTTCATTGGCTCCGGGACTGGCCCTATCATTAGACATAGTGAAGCAATTGCTTTGGATAGCAAATTTTGAGCATTATGAAAAAGGCAGACCATTGTTTTGTTAGAGTAGGACCCCTGTATCCATGGGGGATTGGTCCCAAACCCCTTGTGGAATCTGGAAACTGCTGATAATAGCAAACACTATTCATAGCATGATAAAAGAAATGTTAAGGTATATAATTTTTATATTGCCTGAACATAATATGTATGTGTGCAGAGCAAGAATAAGATGACATCATTCCTCCATCCCTGGCTGATGCAACCCACTGCAATATGAAAACTGCCACACCTGTGTTCATGAAAACACCTCAGACGGGATTGGACCAGACTGATACCAGAATTGTATATAAGAAATGAACACTGTACAGTCTTCCCTTTTCTCCTGTACATTGATGTCTGCTTGTCATGCTGCTGGTTTGAATACTGAGCTATTGAAGTGCTGTATGTATGTATATTTTGTTATATATATTTTGTAAATACATTGCAAGAAAGAAGAATCTGTTGTGTTCGTTTATCTGCGCTTTATTCTGCTGAGGAAAAGATAAAGACACAGACGCACATTCCTTCAACAAGAAACATCCAAAAATAATATTTTCACCATGTATTACCAGAACTGGCCACTCGAGGGAGCTAGAGACCATGCTATGTGTTCTTCAACAACAAGAATATATACAGTAGCATGGTGTCTGGCTCCCTCTAGTGGCCAGTTCTGGTAAATACATTGGGAAAACACTTATTTCTAGATTTATTTTTCTTATAATACTTTAAATATTTTCAGACCGTGGATTAGTGAAACCGCAGATACTGATTTCACGGATACAGGGGGATCCTAATATATTTAATTCATTGCCATCACATTTTTTTTTGGCGAGGCATGCTGTGAGGATTTTCTGTTCCATGTTCCAAAATAATATGGTTGCTGGTGGGTACCATATGCCTTGTGAACAAAGGGTACCAACAGCTGCGTTGCTTCAGGCAGCAAAATATCTTAAGTCGGGCCTACGTGTCACAGACTCTGTGCCTCCACCCCATCCAAAGCTTAGCACAAAAAGTGAACCAGGTCATATCGTCCCAACAGAGAAACTAGACTCACAAATTTCGGTACACACAAAAAGTGTGTATTTTGCTCCACAGATTAAAAGCCACAGGCAAGCAGGACTAATCATATCCAGCCAGTATGTTTGGGTTCTAAACTGCAGTTCACAATATAATTTCGTAGAAGCTAAAAAACCTCAGCAAACACGTCTGAGGAAAAGTTTCTACCCACCCTCCATGTTTGTGTTGGCAGTGGGGGACAAAAAGCTCTAGCAAACAAGCGTACAGAAACTATCCAGAGAACACACTTGGGTGGGAGGGTTAATTTGCACCTAATTGGCTTCGGAGGGGAAAAATTAACAGGAATTTTTTTTTTCCAGCGGGAAATTACCGCGACATTCCATAATGGGAAGCAAGTGGCCCAGCGGATCAGAATGAGTTCACTGAAGTTCAAATAAAAGACACAATGAATCATCACAGACATCAGCCAGAGTTTCTGGTCTCCACCCTATCGCCGTCCCTTGGATACTCTGTTTTCTGCAATTTTTTGGACAGACACTCCAGTATGCTGCGAAAAATTAAAATTTGCAAAGCTTTGAGGGGAAGCGGGTGAAAATACTGAGTTCACACACTCTTCTGTAAATCTTGGCTTCCTCCTCTGGCTCTTCTTTCATCATTTCTTTGCTTTCCTTCACAAGAGGGTTTTGAAACCTTTATATTTATTACATTTTTCGGAATGCATTTGATCCATCAATCCTAGAAAACAAACAAACTCTTGTTTCTTTTTATTAACACCTCTACGCTGCAGAGGAGATGATGTTATTCTTGCATTCATTTTGGCTTAAAGGGTTTAAGTTACAAAACAATAAACTTCTAATAATCTGCCTTCAATTCAAACTTACGGTGACCCTTTTCGGAGGTTTTCAAGTGGAGAATACTCAAGTGGTTTACCATTCCCTTCCTCTAGGGGGCACCCTGGGACTGTGCAGCTTTCCCAAGGCTACATAGGTTGGCTCTTCTCCCAGGAAGCACTAAGGGGAATCGAACTCCCAGCCTCTGGATCCACTGCCAAATACCTAAACCATTGTACTATTGAGAGAACTAGTTCTCTGGATAATGCTGTGGGAACCCCACTTGCCAGGTCCGTAATTAGTAATTAAAGAAATCAGAGTCAGGCAACATCTAGAGCAGTGATTCCCAAGCTTGGAACCCCAGATGTTGTTGGACTACATCCCCCAGAAATCCTGGCCAGCCCAGCTCGTGGTGAAGGCTTCTGGGAGTTGTAGTCCCAGAAGATCTGGAGACCCGAGATTGGAAACCACCACCCTAGAGCAAACGGGCATTCATTCCAAAGCTTTGGCCTCTAAAGCAGGAGAGCTATGCATGGCCCTTTGCTGGTTGAATAGCTCCGTGACTTATTAGCCAGAGGTTGGGAGTTCGATTCCTCCCCGGTGCCTCTAGGGAGAGGAGCCAGCCTGTGTGGCTTTCAGCAAGCTGCACACACCCAGGGCACCCCCAGAAGAAGGGAATGGGACTTGAAGACACACAATTAATTAATTAATTAGTTAATTAATTAATCAATTAATTAGGCACTGCCCTAGAGTCTAGACATACCTTTGCCAAAGGAATCTGCAGGGATGATGAAAGATATTAATCCATAATGTCTGGCATACGCAGCACGAGAGATTTTTTCCTCCCACTTGCAAATTTTCCAGCAATGGTGTTTACTAAATGCCATGCCATGTTCTGCTTATTTTGTTTTGAGGCTACGGCACCTTCCAGCACAGCTTTTATCTTTCCCTTTAACTTTAGGAAATGTCGTAAATGACTGCCTTAAAAAAACTACAGTCGGATTTCACCCCTTCAGTTAGTAGAACAAACATCATAAAGAAGAAGCAGTTGGCTTCTGGTGCTTTAAGACGCATGGTGGGTCCTTAACCAGCTACCGTTTTCCCCAAAAAATAAGACAGGGTCCTATATTAATTTTTGCTCCAAAAAAAAAACAAAAACGCATTAGGGTTCAGTTCCCGGAATCTCCTGTCAGGGCTGGGAGAGAGAGAGAGACTCTGAAGTGCAGGAGCACTCCTACGAATCAGGGCAAACCATACAGAGCAAGATGGGACCAGTGGTCTCGCTTGGCATAAAGCAGCATCTGCCATACCTAGTAAAGCAGAAGCTGGGGTGAAGAATCAACAGGAAATGGATAGTACAGATTGTTACAACTGATCGTTCAAGGGAAAATAAATG